TAGCTGGTACCCAGGGAAGAGCGCATCCAGCAGCCACACCAAGCTGGCAGTGGCGGGTGTTGCATTTTCAATCTTATTTATATTCAAGAGGGAAAACATAGGTTTTCCTTAAAGAAAAATAAATTTTAAATTAATTAATTCTCAACTTTCGCCAGTCCTGGGGAAGAGCCCAGCCAAGCCCATTTAATCAAGGCAAAACCTGCCCCATTAACTCTTGCAGGGGCCGGAGGTGACAGCACCTGTAAGCAGGGGCAAAGACATCCCAGCAGCATCCACCTGGGCTTTTAACAGAGCTATTGAAAAATCAAGGATGGCAAATATTGTCCAAGTGATGAGAAAATGCTCACCGGCAGGAGACAGTGGCTTCATCAGAAGATTGTGAATTGCCTTGATTATGGTATCCTCCCGGGAGGCCAGACCAGCGAGCGAGGGGTGCAAGCACCCGCAGCCAGGGACCGTGCTCGGCAGGGAGCAGCAACAGGTCAGGCAACGGCTGAAGGAAAATGAAGGGACGGGTCCCCAGCAAAGCCACATCCCCTGGAGCAGCCTCTGCATCCCGAACCCAGGGGCACCGGGGGGGGGGGGGGGGGGGGGGAATGGGGGCGGGGGGCGGGTGTGACAGTACATAAATCCCCCAGCCCTGGTGATGCCTCCCCTGGGGCCGGGATCACTGGGCCACCATCAAATGTGGCTGGAGGATCCCATTTCTCCCAGTTTTCAGGGAAACGGTGAGCTCCAACCTCCTCTCCCCTTGTCAAGGAGCACCAGGACCTGCCTCACCTTGTACCACTGAACAATTTCTTGTTCTGGCATCACACGCAGACAAACTCCACGGGCAGGACCCCATTCCCAAAGGCGCCACTGGGGTCCCCAGTCCCACCACTACACATTTCACCCCAGGAGCAGCTGCCTCCCTCCCCAGGGGGCTGCTCATTAGCAGAGCCATGTATTTAATAATAAAAGACTCTGATTAGATTAGTGAGAGTGACCTTTTCCAGATGGATGGGATGCTCGTACAGCAGCAGCGACAGGCACCGTGCGGGAGGGGAACGCACAGACAGCTTGCTGATGCCTCAGCATGCCCATCGCAGGCTATTTTGGCCAGGCAATTGCAGGAACAAAAAAAAAAAAAAAAAAAAATCAGGTTATGCCATGTAAGCACCCCTTCCCTTATCCATCATCTCCCTGCATCTCCTGGGATGAGGCCACATCCTGCTGCCCACCTCCCTGTTAGAGCCTGGGGGGGCTGCAGGAGGGGAGGGGATGGAGCTGGGATGTGCTGGTGCAACACTGGGGAAGCTCTGCAGTGACCTGGCTGAGTTGGTTTTTGCTTTTCTTCTCTTTTTAGGATGCAGAGAGGCTGGGCGAGGAGGGACCTCAGCAGCCAGTCATGGTGGGCTGAATTAAATAGTAGCACTTAAAAAACCCCACCCAAAATAGCCAGGTTACTAAAAATCGCTGAGCAATCCCTCGCCAGGGGGTTGCTGCTGCCCAGTACCCTGCCTCAGTTTCCCCCAGCAAGGCAGGAGGGCTGAGCCTGGGGTGTGGCATCATGTACACACAGAAGGACAGTTCTGGTCAAGGCTATCGAGGCACCTAACGCATCTCAAAATCCCCAGGGCCAAATTCTGCAACTGGTGCTCACCAAAATCATCGCTCAGAGAATTTCCATCTTGCTGCTGATAGCATTCCTCATCCTCTTCTCTTTCCTCAACAACACTAAGGGGTCAAAAGGGGCAGAAGAAAATGCAATTCCAACTTCACGCCCCCGCATCCCAGCACAAGCATCCTGCTGGGATTTAAGGTATTGGGGTTGGGGGAAGATGGAGTGGACCCTGGGGTTATGCAAGGACACCTTTTCTGCGGCACCAAAGGTAAAACTTGTGCCAGGTTTAACCCAGCTCAGAGGCCGGATCCTGCCCTCTTACCTGCCTGCCAGGGCAGGGAAAGATCCTATTGCCCCCTCTCTGCTCCTGGCTGAAGCTAAGGATGCTCAGATGCTCTGACCCCATCGGCACAGCCGGGATGGGGGCTGTTAAATGAGCAAATGCTGGGTATACATTCCCAATTCAGGCATTAAACCAGCAAACGCCAGGTGTATGTTCCCAGTTCGGCAGCAAGTTATTGCACATCTCCACCTGCTGGTCTGAAAGACGCTCTGAGCTGAAACAGGGATGGGGAGGTGGTCTGCACCCTTCCACTGCCAGGGCTGGGGTGCGCTGGCTGGAGACCCCCAACAGGGATGGAGCCACTGCATCATCCCTCACCCCCAGCCCCACGCCTGGTACTTGCCCATGGTGGGAGCAAGTAGTGGGGAGATACAGGGAGAGTGGTTTGGCCCCATCCCCACTGGCAGCAGGGTGGAGGTGCTGGGGCTGTAGGATCCAGCCTTACAGGCCAGGACAGATGCTGAATAACCCCATCACTCCTGGACCACCACCTCTGGGCAACTGCTGCCTCTGGGAGAGGGGAAACTGAGGCACACTGCAGGGACGAGGCTCAGCAGGCAGCAGAGAGAAGCCACACAAGTCTAGGCTCAACCCCACAGACAGCACAAGTCATTTTGTAAACTGGTGTGTAAATGCCCTCCATGCCACATCCCAACGGGTCCCTCACAGCTTCGCAGCACAACCACGCTGAGCACACACCACCAGCACCCGCCACAGCCCTGGGAGCCCTCTCACAAGCCCTGGGGCCACCTGGGGGCCATCCCATTCCAGAGGTGCCAAAAAACCCCTTTCTGGAAGTAGCTGATCTGGGTCCAGCAGCTAAGCAGCTCCTAGGGCTCCCGGTGCCTGGCAGGGGAGTGCAGTGGGGGAGAGACTGGTGCTGAGTGTTGCTCTTAAATATAAAACAAAGAAAAAGGGAATAAAAAACCCTGGGCAGGAGAGAAGGGTGCTGCTTTGCTGCTGGCTGATCCCCACCACCTGCCTGAGTGATTTGTAAGAAGAGGCTGAGAGCTCCTAGTCCTCCCAGCCTTCTTTCTGGCTCCCTCCAAGACCTTTATTTGTCCAGGAAAGGCCAAAGCAGTGGCGAGGGCAGCTGCGCATCCTGGAAAGAGCCTAAAAACTCCTGGCAGAGGCTTCTCTCTCTGCCAGCACAGGCACCCCCCCACGGCAGCGCAGCGAGCCCCGGCCCCGCATCCGGCACAGACCACCCCTGCCTGCTTCGTGCTGGCGTCACCGCCACCGGGACCCCCCACCCATCATATCCCCCAGCCCAGGGGCCAGATCCTGCCCTGGTGTAAACCTGAGGCCTGACCCACAGGGCTGTTGGTGTCCCAGCAGCAACCTGGGGGGGGGGGGGGGGGGGGGCACAGAAATGCCTGGGAGGGGATGGGGAGCAGGGGGCTGCATCCAGCCCCTGCACCGGCGGCGATTCCCGAGGGGTTCACTTGCACAGCAATATCGCCCGCCAGCAAAGCCGCCCGCCGCCTTCGGCAGCGCGCCCACCACGGGGAAGTGCCGACCCAGATGGCTGAATCTCATCCAGGCAAACCGAGAAGCGGAAGGAGATCGGGCTTCCCTGCCGGCTGCCAGACCCCTGCCTGCAAACCCCCCGACCCGCTGCTGCCAAAGGGGAGAGCTCTGCCCGGGCACCCCTGGGGAACACCCAGTCTCGGGGTACGGAGGGCAGCATCTGCCACCCCACAGGATGCTATGTAAAGTTGCGGTGCTCATCAGCCTGGAGCATCTCTGCTCCTCTGCTGGGGTCAGAGTTTTCTAAAGGTGGAAACCCCCTGCCAGCTTCCCTCAATGCTTCCAACATCCCCCCTCCTCCTTATTTCACACCAGGGATGAGCAGCTCTCCAAGCTTCTCAAAGAGCCTCAGGGGGTTGTAGATGCCCAAGAAAGCCCTGCCTGAGCCCCAGAAGTGCCTCGGACACTGGCTGCTGGTGCAAAATGGAGCCAGGCATGATTCAGAGACCCCCCCACCAGCTCCTGCGGGATCAACTGAGGTGGGCAGCGCAGCCCCCGGGACATGCTGAGCCTGCAGCCAGAGCCAGGCTGGCAGGAGGGGTCCAAGTGGCTCCCCCTAAACTGCAAGCAACCCCCTGCTTTCCGCTTGGTCAAGCCAGCTGCTGGGGAAAGCCACTTTAGCTGGAGCATCTGCAGGGTTTGCTTTTACATGGAAACCATCCAAAAAAGCCATCCACAGAAACCAGCCCTGTGTCCATCAGGGTGTGGGGACCCCTCTTCGGCCTTTCTCACCAAAAAAAGCCCCCAGCAGCAGGCGCTGGCATCCCCAGGGCTGTCACAGGGGCAGGCTGGGATGTCACCACAAGCTCGCCCATGGCACGGCAGTGATTTGGATGCAACTCAGGGTAAGTGAGCGCAGGCAGTGGGGCCCCCCCTACCCAGGCCGCAGGCAGGGACAGCACCGCCAGCCCCAGAACCCATGGGGGGGGGGGGGGAATCAGAAAGAAAGAGGGATGGCAGGGGCTGCACCTCCAACCCCACACCCCAAAACGATGCCACCTCAGCAGCACTTGCCTTGTAACTCAGCACAGGCTGGGAAAGTGCCTGGGTGCAGGTCTGGGGGATAAGCGAGTGGATAATAGTGGATAAAGCCCCTGATTCTCCTGCTAAAGCCGCTCTGCATTAAGGAGACAAGGGGGGAGGAAGAAGGGGGAGCAGAACCAAAGCCCCCTCGCCCCACGTTCCCCCCGCCACCCAGCTCCCTGCCCAGGGAAACAACCCACTGCAAACGCTAGCAAGCACAAGCTGTCATTTTATTAAGCCAGGAATAAACTCTAATCTTTACCCATTTCGCTGGGGGGGTGAGGGGGGGTGTCACAGAGGACCGCGGAGGGTGCGGCTGGCGGGGGGGGGGGGGTCCCAGCCAGGCACAGAGGGACTGGGGCTGCGCCTGGGCGGATAGATGGGGCTGGAGGGGGGAAATGGGTGTAAACCCCCCCTGTTTTGCAGAAATGCACATAATATATTATCTGTGTATCTATCTACCTCCCCGCTCCCGCGCCCGGTACCAGCAGCACTTACCGGGGAGCAGCAGGGAGCAGAGGCAGCAGAGCAGGGCAGCCGGCCCAGGGCGCATCTTCTCCGGAGAGGCCATTGCAAAGTGGGGGGCAGCCAGAAAGCCGAGGGGCCCCGAGCCACCCCCGTGGCAAAAAAAAAAAAAATAAAAAAAAAATAAAAATTCCAAACCAAGCACCGAAAACCCCGCAGAAATCCCCTAAATCCAACCACGTGCGAGCCGGGAGCAGCAGCCAACGGCGGAATTTGCAGGGGCGGGGGGGGGGGGGGGACGACGGGACGACGACGACAACACAAGGCTCAGGTTAGGGGGGGCTCGGTTTGCCCCCCCCCCAGCTCAGTGAGCAGAGTACCCCATCTCCGGCCCCCCACCCCTCCCCACCCCGCACCCCAAACCTGCCGCAAACACCCCCTTCACCCCCCGCCAGTGCCTGCAGGGCGACCGGGGGAGCGCCCAGCGGCGGGGGCGGGTCCCCCTCCTCTTCCTCTTCCTCCTCAGGAGCCGGGGGCGGAAAGAAGAGCACGTGTACCCCCCCTCCCGGAAAAATAAAAATAAATAATTAAAAAAAAAGATGTGCTGATGAAGGATGATGCTGCAGGGCTACCAGGTCGCCAGCCACCCCATGCACAAGAATAAAAATCAGATTTCCAAGCGCAGTTCTTAAAAACAAGAAAGAAAAAAAGCTGAATTAAAGCGCTACCCCCAGGAAAAAAAAAAAAAAAAAAAAAAAGAAAAACAACCGTAACAAAAACCACAACCCAAAACAGGCGGGTGAATAATTAATCCCAGACAGATGCAATTAATCAGCAGCAGGAGCAGCTCGGCGGCGGAGTCCCCGCATCCGAAGGCAAAGTTTGGGGGGAGCGAGGCCGGGGAGCGGCCGCCCCGCAGCCGGGGGGGGCCGGGGCTCATCCGCTGCCCCCCTGCGGGGGCTGCAAGCGGGAGGCCCCGGCCATGAGCATGCAAAGGAGGGGGGTCTCCGCCTCCTCTGTCCCCCCTCCTCGGATTAAAGAGGTGGGGTGCACCCCCTCCTGCTCGCAAATATAATTAAAGAGGGGATGCAGGAGCCTTGGGGAAAAAGGCAAGTTTGGGGGGTTCTACCCCTTGCCCCCCTCCGGGTCCCCCCCCGCCGCCGCCGGGGGGGCCCCGCCGCTGGGCTCTCCCGTGGCCGCTCGCCCGGTCGGAGCCGCATCGGGCTCCGGTGGGTGCCAGCGGGGGGAGGCGCCTTCTTCCTCCTCCTCCTCCTCCTCCTCCTCCCCCCCCCCTTCGGGCGAGGTGCTGGCAGCCGAGCGGTGCTCCGCTCCCCGCCGGTGCAGTGCGATAAGATGCGATGCAGCCCCACCCCCCGCTTCCCGATCCCCCCCCCCCCCCCCCAAGCAGATTCCCAGCCGACCCCCTCCCCACCCCAGCACCGCGGGGGGGACTGCACGGCTACCCCTGCGATGCAAGAGGATAATCAAAAATGGGGCTTGAGGACCCCCGGGGGGAGGTGGGGGTGGGGGGGGGTGACACGCAGCACCGGGGAGCACACACCTCCTCACCCCTGGGATGGAGAGAGCCTGCTGGGTTCGGTCGCTTCTCACCACTCTGGGGGGGTTTGGGTCCCTTCCCCATCCCCGCTGTGGCTGGAGTGTCCCCTGCCTCCCCAGCCCCCCTCTGCTAGTGCCACCCGGGGGGGAGATGGGCCTTGTCACCCGGCTCCCTGCAGCACTGCAGCCCCCATGCATGGCTGCAGGTGGCTGGGGACCCTCTGTGCCCCCCCGCCCCCCCGCTGGAGATGGGGGGATCAAGCACCCCCTTGCCCCCATCACTCGTGGGCCGCCTGGTCCTCTCCACACCGCACATCCAGGGAGCCTCTCCAGCAGGTCCTGGAGACCCTTGCAGCAGGGCTGGGGAGGGATTCCCCTTGTCCCGGCTGCCGCTGCCGGTACAGAGCCACCGGGGAGGTGGGTTTTGGGTATCATCGCTGCCCTTACACCCCGGGAATGCCACGCTCCCCTCATGCTGGTGTCTGGGGACCGAGTCCCCTGCAAGCATGCACCACATCTGGTGCAGCCACCTCAGCCCAAGGGTGGGTTTTCCTGCCTTCACCAGCCCCATGAGCACCCCCGATGCCTTCACCCTCCCTGCTCTGCTGCTGCATATTTCCCCATCTCCCTTCCCCAAGAAATATTGGCCAGCACGTTCATCCTGGCAGCCTCATTTACAGTAGAAGTGCATAAGACATCTCCATTAATGCCAAAATAATTCACAGCAATTAATGAGATTGACCTTGAGCAGTGATAGAAGCTGAAGATGCCCCCAAGAAGCGGCAGCTCGGCAGTGCCAAGGAGGGAGGACAGTCCCTGGAGTGAGCCCCCATGCATCCCCGGCACCTTTGGGTGCTGCTGGGAGGTCTTTGCAAACGATGCTGGGGGATGACAGAGGGACCAAGGTGAAGAAGACAGGGGAGATGGGGTCTGCTCCAAAATCCACCACCCAGAGCACTGTGGGAAGGGCAGAGCATCATTTTTGGTGACTGAAAAAGGCCCAGCTGCTGCGGCGAGCAGCCTCACACCACTGCCCAGGCGACTACCGCTTGTTTTCATAAAAATCCCATGATTTATAAGCCAATCTCCAGATTGCTTTGGGGAGGGGAGGGCTGACTCATGGGCATGAATCCCCAGGGATGGCAAAGCAGCAGACAGAGCGAAGCAGTGGCCCAGCCATGATTCATCTCTCCCCAGCCTGCCTGGAGAGCAATGGGGCAGAGCCTCAGTTTCCCCACTCTGAAACGGGCCCCAGGGTCGGGGATTTAGGGATGGTGACGGGACCACACCGCATCCTGCCCCGACACGGGAGCCTGTTCCCACTGATAGATGTGGGCTTTTTAAACAGGGTGTTTGGGTGCCATCCCTCCCGCTTCCCGTGGCGCCTCTGGCAGGTTCTTGGCACCGCCACTGGGATATTTCTCAACTGTTACAGAAATAAGTATTTTTACCCCAGTTGGATTTTATTTATGGCTCTGGCTTTGGCAGGCGGAGGGGCTGGGGTGGGCAAGAGTGGGCGGCTGTGATCTCTCTCTCTTTCCTCAGTGAGGACTGAAGCCGGCGTGCCGGCAGGGTTGCTGCTTGTACTGGGGAGATGCCAGAGATAAATCCTGTTATTTTAGAAGGAGCCAAGGCAGGGAGGGTCAAAATGTGACAGCAATGTAGGGTCCCGCCCATCTTTGTGGAGACCCACTGGAGCATCTCCTGCTCTTTTGGACGTACAATACACTGGAAAGCTCAAGGATGGATTTTCCAAGGAGTTGCCCCCAAAAACATTGAGAGATGGCCAGGCAGGGCTGGATCTGGCTTCCCACATCACCCCTAGGCAGTTTGGGGACACCAACTGGCACCAGTGACCTCCCACCACGCATCCCACTCATCTCGGTGGCATCGGCTTCACTCCCAATGGCATCACATCCTCCCCAGCCGCAACAGCCCCTTGAGGCCCTGCACAGGGAAGGACTTTTTGCTGCAAACCCCACGAGCTGGAGGCACTTGGGAACCACCGACCTCCGTGCGGATAGGTCCTGGCTGCGGGAGCAAACCCCAACAAGCCTGTGCCGTGTTGAGCAGAAAGCATCCCCGGCGCCGACAGAGCCCGGCCTCTCCCCGGTAATCCCTGGCCTGTGTTTCACCTGCTGTAATCCCAGGGCAGCACTAATCGCTGGGATAACAGTGCCCGGCAGCGGGTCATCGCTGAATCCGGCCCTAATCCCTGTGGGAGCCGCTGTGGAGGAGCCGTGCTGCGGCAGGCAGGCGGGCAGTGGGTGCAGGGGCGGCTGCTGCGAAGGGCCCCCCCCGGGTGATGGGTCTAGGGGGGGACCCCCCTTTTCCTTCGCATGGGGAAACTGAGGCATCCGCAAGGATGATGCCCCCCCCCAAGGCACATCCAAGCCTTTCTGGCTCTGCTAGTAATACAAGGATGGGACTATGGAAGGCTTGAAGGAGCAGTGGGGAAAGTCCATGGGGTGCAACCCCGACCCTGCACACAGCGGCATGGGCAAACACAGCACCCAACCCCACTTTTTTTGGGGGGGGGGGGGCCTTTAAACAAAAAGCCAAGAGCCAGGGCTGAGGGTTTGCACCTGGGAGAACCCCCTGGGTTGTTATATTTCACAGTGACCCCAAGGACCCTCCAAAGCCAATAAATCACTTATAAACCATAAATAAGTAAATAAAAAGCCCAGGGCACACCCCAGGACAGTGAAAGCTTCAGACCAAGTCTCCAGTTTTCCCATTATTTTTCAATAAAGACTAATGCAGGCAGGGAAATTCCTCGCCTGCAAGCAGCTCTCTCCAATGGTGGCTGCCTTGTTTGCGGCCTGACAGCTAATTCTGCGCGGGAGTTGAATGGCTGATCCTGGAACGTGATTAAAAATATATATCAATTCCCTCCCCTTCAAAGCAGTGCCCAAAATATATTTATACCATCCGCCTTTTCTTATATAGTTCTGATAATGACAGGGGAGGTTTAGATTTGATATTAGGAAAAATGTCTTCACAGAAAGGGTTGTCAAGCACTGCAACAGGCTGCTCAGGGAAGTGGTTGAGTCACCATCTCTGGGGGTATTTAAAAGATGTGTAAATGCTTACCTACGTGGTTTAGTGGTGGACTTGGCAGTACTAGGTTAACAGTTGGACCTGATGATCTTAAAAGCGTTTTCCAACCTAAATGATTCTATGATAAATATAGAAAGCTGGTAATTACCATAAATTAATTTTATATTCTCAAGAAAGCTCAATCCCCGGGCGTAAGAAATCAGGAAAGGAAGGCAAGAGACTGACATAGATGAATTGAGACCTGCTGGTCAAACTAGAGGGCAAGAAGGAAATCCACAGGCAGGGGAAGCAAGGACAGGTACCCTAGGAAGAGTATAAGGATGCTGCCTGGTTGGGCAGGGATCAGGTGAGAAATGACAAGGCACGACTGCAGCTGAACTAGGCATTGGGTGCAAAGGATAAGAAGAAGGGCTTCTACAGGTATGTCAGCCAGGAAAGGAAAGTCAAAGACAGCGTACACCCTCTGATGAGCAAGACTGGCAAACTGGTAACAACAGCCAAAGAGGAGGCCGAGGTACTCAACAATATTTTTGCCTCAGGCTTCACTGGCAATCTCTCTTCCCACACCTCTTGAGTGAATGAACCGCAAGATGGGGACTGGGGGAGCAAAGTCCCTCCCACTGTAAGAGAAGATCATGGTTGAGACCACCTGAGGAACCTGAACATATGTAAGTCTGTGGAACATGACAAGATGCATCCCAGAGTCCTGAGGGAATTGGCTGATGTACTTGCCAAGTCACTCTCCATGATATTTGAAAAGTCATAGCAGTCAGGGGAAGTAAGTCGACAGTGACTGGAAAAAGGGAAACATTGGCCCCATTTTTAAAAAGGGTAGAAACTAGGACCCTGGGAATCACCAACCTGTCAGCCTCACCCCTGTGCCTGGGAAGATCAGGGAACAGATCCTCCTAGAAGCTATGCCAAGGCGCATGGAGGACAGGCAGGTGATCTGAGATAGTCAGCATGGTTTCACCAAGGGCAAGTCTTGTGTCTTGCCTGACCAACCTAGTGACCTTCTATAATGGAGTGACTACATCAGTGGACAACGGAAGAGCTATGGATGGTGTCTATCTGGACTTCTGTAGGGCCTTTGACACAGTCCTCCACAACATCA